TGTGTGTGTGTGTGTGTGTGTGTGTGTGTGTGTGTGTGTGTGTGTGTAGGTGCGCGCATACACATGTGGAACTTACTATGTAGCCCAGACTGGCCTCCAATTCACATTGATACTCCTGCATGAGCCTCCTGAAATGCTGAGATTATACACAGAGCTCTTTTTCAACAAAATAATGTTATCAATTACTTTCTAGGGGAGAAAACTCCTACATTTGCTGTTTTCTTCTCTTTATGTAAATCAAGTATTCTTTCGCTTTGATTTTGGGGGATTTAACTCAGTGCTGGAGCACAAGATAATACTTAGGTTCCTTTTCCAACACCAAAAAGATGTAAAATGCTCAGTTCACTCTAGTTTTCTTCTCCATCCACCTCACAAGCATAAACCCTGACATCTTTCTGAATAAATACTCTTGCTAGGGCTTTTAATAGAAGAATGTTTTAAAATGAAAATAAATTAAGATAAGAATATCAATAGATCAAATCTCACATAGGGAGATTAAAAATAACATTCCCATCTCTACTGTAACTATTCAGTGAATACAAGGAAATCTTATGATTAAAGAGAAATACTTTGCCGGGCAGTGGTGATGCACGCCTTTAATCCCAGCACTTGGGAGGCAGAGGCAAGCGGATTTCTGAGTTTGAGGCCAGCCTGGTCTACAGAGTGAGTTCCAGGACAGCCAGGACTACACAGAGAAACCCTGTCTCAAAAAACAAAAACAAAAAAAACCCAAAAACAACAACAACAACAAAAAAGAGAAATACTTTATAATTAGATGTTGCTTTCTACTTTTATAACATAAAACAATATGAGAATAATGCTCTACTAATGCTCTAATAAACTATAAATCTCTATCATTACAGATGTACTCTACAGAAATTAAAGCTATAGCAGTACATGTTATTATAGTTTTAATAGAAATATGAATGCAGTTGCTTAATAATAGATGTGTACTTAACTATGTTGTAACAAGACTGTAGAGAGGCTGGCTGCACAGCTCAGTGGTAGAAGACTTGACCAGTATGCAGGATAAAATTTTCATCCTTTGCCTCCATTACATCTCTAGGCCTAAATTTATATTTTGAATCAATCTTTAAATAATATGTTTTCATAAAAAAATTTAAATGATAATTTAAAAATATTTGCTATGTTATGCAAATGTGCAAATATAGAATAACATAAAACATATGAAACAAAGGAAGGCTGGTGAGATGCCTCAGTAGGAAGACAACTTACTTTACAAGCCTAAGGACCCGAGTTTAATCCCAGAATCCATGGTGGAAATGGAAAACTGATTCCCGAAAGTTGTTCTCTGACCTTTGCACAGACACACACAGCTGCACGCACACATGCACACACAATTATAATTATTATATTAATTATATTATATTAATATATTAAATTATATTATTATGTTATTATAATAATAATAACAATAATAATAATATAATTGTAATCAAAAGAGAAGATAGTGAGTTAAAGATAATTTGCATCTCCACAAATTTGAAGCAAAGCATTAGATGTATGTGGGTAAAACGTGTGTGGCTATAGGAGAGATGAGGGGCGTGGCCAGAGAGCAACAATTATAGACTAGAGGGTAGCCAGAAAATCCAATTTTATATCTGAAGCAAAAACAGAAAGTACTTAACAATACAGTAAGGAAGTGGGCTTTTTAACAAAGAAAAGGGGGGGTAACCTTGATGAGCTCCACAGGCACACAATCTGGAAACCTGCAAAATTACAGCTCAAGATAAATGATCTGTCATCAGGCAGCTGGCAGAATGACAAGGGGATGCTTGTAGTTTCTAGCTCAGTGATGCTGCAGGAGGGAAATCATTTAAGAGACGTCTCTGGTTTCTTTCTTTCTTTCTTCCCTGATCAAGCTATCTTTGACCAGAGAGTTCATTTGTTTCCAAGAGTATGTGGGTTTTATGTTGTATTTGTTGTTATTAAAGCCTAGCCTTAGTCCGTTGTGATCTGATAGAATACATGGGATCGTTTCAATTTTCTTGTATCTGTTGAGGCTTGTTTTGTGTCCAATTTTATGGTCAATTTTTGAGAGGGTTCCATGAAGTGTTGAGAAGAAGGTATATTCTTTTGTTTTGGGGTGAAATGTTCTATAGATATCTGTTTAATCCATTTGGTTCATAACTTCTGTTAGTTTCACTGTATCTCTGTTTAGTTTCTGTTTCACTGACCTGTCCATTGGTGAGAGTGAAGTGTTGAAGTCTCCCACTATTACTGGATGAAATTTAATGTGTGTTCTGCAACCTATAGGTTGGGAAAAAATCTTCACTAACCCTACATCTGATAGAGAGCTAATATCCAAAATATATAAAGAACTCAAAAAGGTAACCTCCAAAACACCAAATAACCCACTTTAAAAATGGGGTACACCAGGCAGTGGTGGCACACGCCTTTAATCCCAGCACTTGGGAAGCAGAGGCAGGCGGATTTCTGAGTTCGAGGCCAGCCTGGTCTACAGAGTGAGTTCCAGGACAGCCAGGGCTACAGAGAGAAACCCTGTCTCAAAAACCCAAACCAAAAAAAAAATGGGGTACTTTAGTGGGATATCCCCCCCTACATTTGCAATAAAGCTCGGTAACTGGGGAGGAGCTAATGTGGGAGGAGCGAAGAGTGGGAAGGAAAAGGAAGAGGAGGGGCGGGGAGACTGGCAACCATGAATTGGTCGAGAACAGTCCTGGGTAACAATTTATATCTACAGGTTAGGTATTGGGTAACAACTCTAATTGTGTGGGCATCTTGTTAATTGAGCATTTCCAAATATATAAATCCTTTGGATAATCTTTAAGCATTAAGAGTCTTCATTCTACTAGGAACCGTGAGCATGGTGGGTATCATCTGGGGTTTAGCAGAGAACCATGAGGGTGACGGGGTTGGTCTAAAATCTATACTTTGGGCATGGTCTCTATGGAGATGATCGGCAGAAACAGCTGCTACAGTAACATCTCATGGGGTGCTCTTGGCCTCTGGCCACTTCTAGTCGGGAACATGGCAGGCGGCCCAGATAACTAGTAGAGCCGGACCTAGCAGAGGGTTTTCTAAATATTGTTCGCAACAGGGTACAGAGCTAAACAGAGAATTCACAACAGAAGAATCTCAAATGGCAAGAAGCACTTAGAGAAATGTTCAAAGTCCTTAATGATCAGGGAAAGCAAATCAAAATGACCCTGAGATTCCATCTCACACCAGTCAGAATGGCTATGAATAAAATCTCAGGTGACAGCACATGCTGGCAAGGATATGGAGAAAGAGAACACTCTTCCATTGCTGGTGGGACTTCAAGCTGGTACAACCACTCTGGAAATCAATCTGGCAGTTCCTCAGAAAATTGGACATAGCATTACCTGAAGACCCAGATATACCACTCCTGGGCAGATACCCAAAAGATGCTCCACCATACCACAAGGATACTTGTTCCACTATGTTTATAGCAGCCTTATTTGTAATAGCTAAAGCTGGAAACAACCCAGATGTCTCCCAACTTGGGATCCATCTCATGGGGGACAGGAACCAAGGCCTGACACTATTACTGATGCTATTATGTGCTTACAGATGGGAGCCTGGCATGGCTGTCCCCTGAGACCTACCAGCAGCTGACTGAGACAGTTGCAGATACTTAGTCACAACCACTAGACTAGGACTCCTGCGGTTGAATTAGGGGAAGGATTGAAGAAGCTGAAAGGGAGAGTGACCCCATAGAAAGACCAGCAATGTCAACTAACCCAGATCCCAGGGAGCTCCCACAGACTGAGCCACCAATCAGGAGCATACACAGGCTGGTCCAAGGCCCCTGGCACATATAAAGCAGAGTTTCTGACTGGTCTGGCCTCAGTGGGAGAAGGTACACTTAATTCTTCAAGAGACTTGAGGCCCCAGAAAAGAGGGAGGCCTGGGGAGGGGGAAAGCATCCTCTTGGAGGCAAGGGGGGGAGGAATGGGATGAGGAACTGTGAGAAGAGGTACAGGGAGGGGTGCAACAACTGGAATGTAAACAAACAAAATAATTAAAATTACAAAAAGAGAGATGTCTCATAGTCAAATCTCTCAAGAAAAAATAATCCTCTATATTTCTATATCTCCAACCTCCAAATATGTTCTGCTTTCCACTGGGTAAGCAAGTAACCACTTAGAGAATCAGTGTGGACCCAGAAAACAAGTTGTAACTTAGATGAAGACTTAGGTTAGGGAGTACTCAGATCTACTTGGATAGGAAGTATAAGCTACCTAAAAGAAGGAACCCAAAGGCAGATAACATTTGGGAATTACATTAGCACCAGAGGAGGTCAGGGAGAAAAAGGCATTGAAATTAGTATATAAAAGAAACCAGTTGACCTAAAGACTGGAAACCCCTCACCATCAGGGATACTTACCTGTATGGGACAGAGTAAACACAAGAAAAGTCAAAGGAGGAAAAGGCAGGTGCTATAAAAACAATTCAGTCTCCTCACCCAGGGCCTTCATGCTTCTAACTTTTCCAGCCTCACTTCCAATCTCAAAGGTGCTCTCTCAATAAATAGTCTCTATTTCTACAGCTATCTAATTTTTTTATCTAATTTTTTTGTTTGGAAACACAAGAACCTGAAAATCTCAAATATATGGCTGACCTCTGAACTATGACTCATGCCTATAAAAGTCTGACTTCCAGGAAGAGATAAATAACTAGTTTTGTGTGGGTATGAAAGGGCTGGGGTTGCTAGAACAAAAACAGGCGTGACCAGAGTACTACTCAGTACACTACACCATACTTTACAAGCTTTGCTCTGACCGTTTTCCATACTGAGAGTATCAAAAACATTTAAAGTAAATGCAGATGAGTTGAGTATTGTC